CGTTGTGTCGTGGCCACCACACGTCATGGCCGCCGCGTGGCCCGGGGCGACACCACACACCGCTCCGCAGGACCCAACCTGCGCTCCCCGCCAGCGCTGCAGGGCACTGCAGGTCCGCGCACACCCGTTAGCTCACTTTTGAGTGTAAACTCCTCTTCTCGTCACCTTGTTTCCAAAGCCATCATTAGTTAAGACTAAGAACAGCCTGGAGCCCCCAAATCCCCGTCCTTGGAGAGGGCACAGCAAAACCTCGCACTCGTGCAGCATGACACGGCAGCACGCAGGGTACGAAGCCGCTCTGACGGGCGGTTAACCAGCAAGGCTGCTCCTACCTGAGGGCCAAGGACAGGCAGTGCCGCGAAAGCGCAGCCCGAAGCGTCCACGTCTGCCAGCGCCCCGCAGCACCAAGGGCTCCTTCGCCCTTTTCAAAGCAAAGTTCACTCGCAAAGGACAACACTGAAAAAATACCTGGGGACACCAGTTTGTTCTGAAGCTTTGAAACCTCCTGTGAGGACTCGGGGGGAGTTTCCGCTAGGAAAGCAACACTCGAGCAAACCTGCAGAAACCACCAGGAGCCCAGCACATAGGCACCGCTCTGTGGTGCTGGGGTGGCTGATGGCAAACAGCACCCAAGGGAATTTGTTTAATCGTGACTGGTAATAGGACGACTTTGAGTCACTGGTTTTCACACCAAGCCCTGCAGGGTGGCGAGAGAAAACCCAAGCAGAAACCCCTGTCCTTCCAACGGAGCCGATGACAGAGCGCCCGGCCCGGCCGCTCGCTGCACCCCCCAGCACACACCAAAGTCTCAGGAAACGTTTCTGGAATCAGCAGCACACGCGCGGCCCTTCGGTGAGCCGACACTGCGCACACAACACCACTTGACCACATCTCCGACAAGGTAGGTTCAAACTTTTTTTTTTTATTAAGCACATTCCACAGTACAAAGCTTTAGATCGTCAACGATATCTGTACAATTTAACAGTTTCCATAAGCTGTTCATACACCAACTTTCCAAACAGATAATTGGCAAACAAAATTACAAGTTAGAATTCGACTATCCCAGTGCTTTGAAACATTAATATAGCAGTAATGTACAGTTGCTCAGTTATGGTTAGCAAAACAAGTCCAGAGTGCAGCCAGGATCACTACCATTAACCCAGGAGTCGCGTTCCTTGGGTGCCAATCACAAGAGTCCACTGCTGTGTTACACAAAGCACAAAGAAGTTTAGACTGCATGTTCAAATACCATCATCTCCAGAGGAAAAACAGGAATTGAAATCTTACACATGCACTTTTTTTTAGAAAAAAAAAAAAAAAGAGACTCCATTCTTCAAAAACAAATACCTTTTTCTTCAGGGCTGCAACAGATTTTTTTTAAACAGTTTAATATTAAAGCTAGTAGATGAGAAGGGGAAAAAGACATTTCCACAGGCTACTGCCACGCGCACCACAAGGCGACCTTAGCGAGCGCGTTCTGATCTTCCGCACATCGGCACCTCCGGGCACGTGGTGGAATAAACATCTCCGTGGGAGCACGTGAGAGGGAGCAGTTCGCAGTGCCTGAAACACAACCCGGGGGAGAGGCCGAAACCTCGGGTTGTGCTCCTGGAGCTTTCGGCTGGGGCCCCCGGGCACTTCCTCAACACGGACACGACGCACCCGAACTCGGCTGTGCCGTCCCGGTAAAGCTCCGGCTTTCCCCAACCCTTCCATCACAAACAGGAAAAATTCCGGGCAGGGAAGCGATCCCGAAGGCCAAGGCTCTGCGCGGGGAGGGCTCTGCGTTTGCGCCGCGCGCTTCCTCCCCAGGGAACGGGCTCGTTTCGCACCAAGGATTAAAGAAAAGCCGCAGGCAGAGTCGCACGCGGTAGTGAAGAGCAAACCTCCAGCTCTGCGTTTATCGGCGTCTCCTTCGGACGGAAAACGCGGCAGCGGTAACACGAGCACAGAAAGTGGACACTGACAACGTGAGCAGCAGCTGCTGAGACTTGCAAACAAAACCAGAGGATGAACCAGGACCAGGACAGCACGACACAGTCACAGCGAGGGCTGCGGCAAAACCCCGGCGCGGGGCCCAGCGCGTCGGCTCGCAGGCACCTCCGCTGCCCCTGCGGCAAGGGGCACAAATCACACATAAATAAATCTAAACTTTGGCCCACGGCGTCTTCTCCATCCAACAGCCACACTAATGCTAAGGAAGGACCTCAGCAGGCGTTAGCCACAACCTACTGCTGTTAAAAGAAAGACATCTGTCAACACTGCGGCACAAAATATAAGATACAGAACATAAATTAAACTTTTTTAATTTTTAAAAAGTTTAGAAATTACATTTTAAAATATGTAGTTCCCATTAAAAAAAAAATCCTAATGAATACTGAAAACCTCCTGTTGCAGAGAAGATTTCTAGGTCATTCGTATTAATCCCTACAGCGCCAGTAGTGAGAACATCCTGCTGCCAAGTGCTGGCACGGTGCGTGTTAGTGTGTAGTGCCAGGGCATCCTGCCTGCCGGCACGCGGGGCTCCGCTCTATGTACATTATATCTACATGCTTGTACAGGAGCTGAAATGAGGCAAGCACACATGGAAAGGTTTTACTACAGCAAACATCGGGAAGCGTAGGACGGCCGTCGTACAGAGCACAGTTAAAAGGAAAAGACGGTGCTATACAACTAGTTTAGATAACCTAGCCTGAATTACAGGTAATCTTTAATTTAAAAGAAATTATTGGTGCAGAAACCAGTAAACGGTAATCCAAAAATATTACTGATCGAGTCAGGAATATTTCTAAGAGTCCAACGCACACTCCTAGCAAACCAAACAGGCTCTGAATCTGCCATGAGAGCAAAGTCTAAAGGACAGTGGTGACTTTGAAAGCAAAGCTCTGTACATTCTGGGCATGTGTTTGGCACCCAAATTTCATCGGAGAATGTTTTTTTTTCCTTTAAAGTCAGACAAAAGTGCAAAGCAATATAAATTAGGCCAAGTCCTTTCTTGACTTCCGATTTATTTCCGAAAAACAAGCCATCAGAGTTCAGTTTCTACGGACAATTTACAGGTGAAGCTTTGGATTTTTCATTGCAGGGAAGGCCAGGCTTCTGAAATTCGTCTACTCGAAGTCAGTGAATTTGTAGCAAATTCAGAGACGACCACTGAGAGCAGGAAAGGTTATGGAATTTAGATACAGGATTGTGCTGCTTTGCATCTACACAGCATCTAGAACCAATTCTGACTTTAGCTGTCAATCAACATCTTCAGGCATGTAGTAGCCAAAAATCCAGTAGTTCAAGACTGTGAAACCCTGGAAAAAGACAAAAAACAAGCTGAACCCACAGGACACACGAGTCAAAACGCAGCATTTGGGGATGTCAGGAGAAGGCTAAGCAGCTGCCCTTTTCCCACACTCCAAGATGAGCCTAACAGGGTGAAACACCCTCCTGTGCGACTCCTCAGGGGACTCTCCACTTTAAGATAGTTCCTTGGTGCTACAGGTCCTGTCCTCAAGGGCAGAGGTACCTCCACAAGCCATCGGCCTCACTTCTTTCACTGGAGCTAAGCTTAGAGCACGGTCCTCCCTGGTGCTGGTTCTTCCCGGGTGCAGTTGGCATTTGTCTTGCACATAGTGAGGAAAAAACAAAACCTGTTTGGGGAAGGAGCGACCTACACACCTGCCAGAACCCTGTCCTCTCTCCTCTCCACGCTGCAGTTTTGCCTAGAAAACAAAGTCCACTTGCTTCAAACCCCAAGGTTTTAAGAAAACTGACTAAAAATCAAGGCCTTTTCTATTTCAGATGCCTTTTCCAGCAGTCACATGACTACATTAGTAGCTTGGATTTAATTGCACTAAGAATTTGTGTTTTACCTGCCACTTCCCAAGGTTGTTTCTACAGCCTACGGGGAACTCCCTATTCCAATAGGAAACTCCCACGCAAGGTTAAGGCTCTTCAGGCACTTGCCCTGAGCTCAAGACCTAGTGCTTCATATAACAATATTAGCCTGTCATATGGTAGCAATTTTTATCATGTTACAATGAGCAACAGCAATTCAGCAGAAAGCAATAAAAGTCTCGCAGCCAAATGCCAGGAGAGTCAGAAATGATCCGCTGGGAAGCAGCCTAACATTGCAAGTCGTGTAAAAAGGGAGAAGGCTGCTTCAAAATGCAAGGGACTACAGTGTTTAAAAGCATATAAAACCGTGGCATTAAATGTCAGAAGGAAATATTAGCTGTTTGACTATAAGTTTATGCAAGATTTATGGTTTGGGGAGTGTGAATTTAGACAAACTTGTCCAACAGTGACATTGCATCCTCTCTCCTAAGGAAGGATTATTGGAGGAGGACAGGACCAGGACCAAAACCTCGCAGGGAGGGGAGGGCTACGTGTTTCCAGCTCGGCATCACGGGGCAAGTCGGACAGAAGCTGCTCGGAATGGCCCAGCTGTACAAGCTGGGAGGGAGAAAAGAGCACCAAGGGCACCTCGAATTTCATCAGCCAATCTCTGTGACTCAGGTCTCGCAGGACACACGTGACAAGGGAGAAAATCAGATACCTGCACCTTGCTGGTCGACTGCATCAATTATATCCTGCCCCTAATTACTGCTGCGCTTAACGCGGAGCTTTCCTGAGAACCAAAGCGTTCAACAACGCAGCTTGCCACATGCAAATAAAATAGTATTCTATATATAATAGTAAAGAATTATATATAATAATCATAATATATACTAAATATACTAAATAAAATATGTCAACTTTAAATTAGCTTGTAACTTTGCAGAAGGAAGCACTGAAGTATTAACTGGAAAATATCTGGAATTTATTCTCCAAACCATCATCATCTTCCCATGCAGCCTTATTCTAAATGACTGGAAAGGCAGGAAAAGAGCTTCCCATTTCCCATTACTGCAGGCAGAATAAGGAGCTCATGAGCTTTAACACGGCGCTTATGAACTACCCTTGTAGCACTGTTAATGTGGCAATTCCTTCCATGATTTAAACCAACTGCTCAACTTCTTCAGCCAGGACATGTAGGAGCTCTTGCTCCATTAAAGCAATGCTTAGATTCTTAGGCAGCACAACAAATACAGGCATGGAAGCACAGGGAATACAGGCAAGTCCTCAGTACTCAAGCAGAATAGAATTGCAATTGCAATGTCACAAGGCAAAGAAAAGCTGCTTTCCTGGCCAGAAGAGCTTCTACGAAAAGAGTGGAAGAGCTCAAGGAACTCACTGCTACAGCAGTGTGCACGCACAGAGAGGTGATGCAAATCCATGGCTCATGGAGACAGCAAAAACTTTCTCTGCAGGCTGCTCATCATCTACTCAAATAAAACAAATCCTTCCTGTCGGGGCAATGTTAATCCTAACTCCCCTTGCTGCGATGTCTCCATTTCTTGGAAGCATCCAGGATCAGCACAGCAGAGCCAGGGCACTGGAGATAGAGGCGACTGCTCTGCTTTGGTCAAGGCAATTACTGTGTTTCCAAATCCCAGCATTGTTCACAGCTATTTATATTCTCTGAAGTGCAATTGTTGGCAGCAATACAGACGACATGAGGAGAAGCAGCGACAAGCAGATCTACAGCAAAGCTTTTACCCAGCGTGCTTAGAGAGCTAAATAAAGCTGAATTGCAGAAAAGCCTGAACAAAAGGGCAAATTTTACGTTTTGACCGCTCCAGTTGTCCCACGGTGGAGCACAATGGATTTTTCACTCGTGAAAGCTCTCCCTGTTACTCACGGTTGTCACAGAACCGTGCACTTACGCTGAGCATTCGACCCACGCACACAAATGTCCCATGCACAGGATGAATGTCAAATGCACATGTCACCCTGTGCACGCCCCTCGCAGGCACGCTTGCTTTGGCAACCATGCATTACAATGCTCATTACCAAGATTCAAATAAGCAAATGTCTCAGGAACTCCACGGGGTATTTAGAACGGATGTGCAAGGCGGGGAGCATGTCAAGCATGAAGACAAAATACTACAATCTTACAAATTTCAAGCACAGCATCAGAGGCTACGTAATGCAAGCAGCAGCATAAAGAGATTTCATTTCCTTAAGAAAACCGGCAGCTCGTTTTGGCCATGCCTGGCTGCAAGCAGAGAGCTAACTTCACATATTTGCAGGGCAGCCACACGCTTCCTTACCTTCCGAGGGCAGTAAAGTGCAGACTGTTATCTGGAGATGTACGTGTATGTTCTAGATGGAGAGCGGGTCTCGTTCTGGGCACTGGGTGGCACGTTTAGGAAATCCCAAATCAGAATCGTATCGTCGTGGGAACTGCTAATGATCTGAAACTCATCAAACTGGAGTCTGAAGACACGGCCTGAATGTTCCTGCGAGGAATAAAAATGCAGTTAGTGGAGCGAGAAGAGGGAAACGTCTCATTGCATCTGCAGTCACCAAATTATGAATTAAAGTTCTGCTGCGCTAATTAAGAAGTCCTTAGCTACAGTTAACCTGAATTTAAGAAAAAAAAATCCCTTCTGTATGCAAGTCTTTACACTAAATGTATGTCTTCAAATCAAGTGCTTGCAAGTCCTGAAACTTCCCTGGAGGGAGGAGGCTGAAGCAGAGATTATTAAAGAGAGAAACAGCCCATCAGTTCAGAAGCAGCAATTCAGAAGATTAGCTGGTGCTGGCAAGCTGCCAGGGCTCCCTCTATTACCTGACATTCCGTATTCAACACTGATACTTCAGCAAGCTGGACATAAACCTAACACCCCCCAGCACAGGCTCCCCGAAGTGTGCCAGGATGGGAAGCATCCCTGGGGTTCCCACACTACGAAAGCCTGGCCGTGCTCAATTCTGCCTTGGAGAAAAGGAACCACAGCGCCACGTGCTTCATAAGCTCCTCCAAGGGCATCTCTGAACACCATAAAACATTCTCCACTTTGCTCACTGCAAGTGAGCTTAAAAGGAGCTCGCTACCTTTACTAGGGAACTGCCCAAGGCTGTCAAGCTGATCCTCAATCTGCAGCCTGAACTCACAAAAGGGCAAATAGCAACTTTCCATGTGGAATGAAAGGATAATTAACACCCATCTCCATACCAAGAGCACTGAAAGGACTGAAAACTAGAAATACGTTGTGCAATACAAGCACTTCTGCAGGCCCCTGCCCAGGAACCCAGCTACCATCACCAGCAGCTCTGCGTTGCTGCTAGCCCAGACCAAAGTGAAACCGACTCTCAAGCAACATTTCACACACGTTTCTGGGAAAGAAAAAGGAATCCCTTTCCCTCATTTATTTAATGAAGTCTACTGCCATACATGAAAACCCTATTACACAGAAAAATATAACCTTAAACAAGAGTCTTCTGAAGCAACCAGAGCGCCTCGTGGCAACTCACCATTCCCTCCCATCCCTCCAAACTGAAGGAGAAGGGTTTGGGAAAGGCTCAGGAATTTCCACCCTCCCCTTATTCCCATGTCAACCCTTTTAAAGAGAGAAAATGTATTTAAAGCTAGTATTACAGTATCTCTAATGACAGCACCTAAAATGAGTAGATATGGTGTCTCAGTGATTATATTTTTGGAGCATCTAAGAATCCTGAGCTAGCAAAACACTCTTTCTTTTGAAGTTGCACTCCAATTACTCAGGACATAGCTATATATATGTAGATATATATTTCTTCATTCATAAAGAAATATATTCTCATTCCTCTTTATAAGAAGCAGACTAGACTTTAGAAGACATCTCAAGTTTCTCACCTGTCCCACTAGAGCGCAATAAAATGCCTTTTCCTTTCAAAGATTCCAAAGATTTCACATAAGCCCGGATGAATTAATTTTACCTACCACTAATGTCCGCAAGCACAACGTGCTTGCTGGGGCACGAGGGTCCAGAGCAGCTTGCAAGTCCCAGACTTTGATTTTGCTAGAAAATAAAAAATAAGCGGATTAGAACAAAGATGTTGCTTGAAATATCAGCACAGAATAAGCATCTGAAGAAATGGAAAGACACACAGGATTTCCCTGTAGTTAAATACATCAGGATCAAGCAAAATGTTAGAATTCAGTTATGCTGTTATATTAATGTTAAATCTCTTGAAGGACAGACAGTTTCCTATTTTTTTCAGCACCAAATACAGCGATGCCTTTGTGCTGGGCCAAGTAGATTGGTGGATGTTATGAAGACACAAATGGGCTATGTTTCTACCACACAGGTGATTTTAGAACTGCAGATCTCACAGTCTACAGCACTAACGGACAAGCACAAAGAGCCAGTGGGATCAAGCCAGGACTGGGACCCCACAACATGATAAACCAAGAGAAAAGGACAGAGACAAACGCAGTTCAAGAACCGTCTTCAACACATCTACTGTCCACTTGAACTACTAGCCAGCCAGAGAAAAAAGAAATGGAAAATTTAGACACAGATGTAAGTTTTTCTGAATTTACTAAACCATTAAAATACTTATTTCATGGCAGGGCCAGCCCACAGCACTGACCACAGGGGTCTTGCATTCAACCTACCAAAAATGGTCACTTAGGACCTCTGAGAGCCCTGCAACGTATGTTACACACACACAAACATTCTCAGTGCTGCTGTCTGATAAAGACAGAGCCAAGAAGACTCCGCGAGCAGCGGGTGGCGGAGGG